TTATACCCAGATGAGGAAAGAAAATAATATTTAGTCTCCCAAATTAGTGAGGAATAATTTATCTGATAATGGTTTTCATTGTGAAGTTAATGGAAGATACTTTTTTGTGTAACTCAGGGCTTGCAAGCAATGGGTAAATAGACTTTAACATAATAAGCTCAGGGTATTGGCTTACATGAAATAGTCAACATTAAGGTAATGGGAAATATAAATTTCTCTTGGGGAAGGATGACTCAAAGAACATTTTGCATTTGATTTTAGGTACTATTAGAGAGTACTAAATAAAGCTCAAAATGAAAAACCCAACTGTTGTTCTACTTTCCTGTTATCCATCCAGACAACCAGCGTCACTCCACAGTTTTCTGAGGAAAAACATACAACCATGAAGCAGAATCCCACCCTTATCTTGAGTGAAGAAGATAAGCCAGGGCTGTTCAATGCCTGAGCTATGAAACGTGCAAGACATCAGAAGGGATTGATGGTAATTGGTTATGAAGTTATTGCTTCAGGGAGAAAGGAAAAGAGAGGATAGGGCCATCAGAAGGGGGTTTACTAAAAAATGGGACTGGGAATTCCAACAGAAGTAGAAGCTATCCCTAGTACACTCTCAACAGGCGTCTCTGAGGGTCACACCCCTATCAAGGTCTTGGCAGTGAGGGCCACTTGTGATACAAAGGAACTAGATAACTTGATCAGGGGTTCAAGACTCAATTATTCACTCTATTCACTCCTACCACCCAGCTCTAGGGTCTGGGCATAATCATTCCAACACTTCTTCTGGGCTAATTATGGAGGTGCTCTGAGAACTTCATGTTGACATAGGAACAGCATGTACCTCCTTTTACCCTGGTCATGGAGAAGTGGCAGCTGCACCCTCGTGTTAGATGACTAGGTGGGAAGTCCCTCTACCCACAGCTAGAGAAACAGCGAGGCGGAGCTCCCTGATTGCCCTTCCACCAACTGTGACCAGAGATGCACTGTGCGAGGAGGAGGAGCAGAGTGGGAGGGGCGGGGAAAGGAGGAGGAGGGGCGGGAGCGAGAGGAGCCGCCTTTTACCTGGGTGCACGCTCAGGGAAGAGGACTCATGGGAGTGGAAGAGTGACTGGGGCAGTCCCAAGAACTGTGCGTCAGACTGACAGAAGGAGCAATGTCCCTACTCCCAGCATCACCAACACTTTCATCTGTGTGAGTAACATATGTCAAGACAGAATCCAGCACACTTAAATTTTTAAGTCGTGAAGATTTAATGAGAACTAAACCATATGGCAAAACACAAATAACATTTTACTTGCTTATTTTTGTTGCTTTTAGCTCTAGTTTTCCGATATGTAACTAGGAAGGGCCTATAATATTCAGGTAAGTAGGTATTGACCAGCACACTGTTCTTTACGGAGCCCACCAGGTATCACTGGGAGTGTATTGCCATTGCACTGAAAGTACCACTGTTATGGGGTAGGTCTGGGCATTAATGGTTTATTAAGTTTTTAACAAGTTTATTAAGCAGTTTGATCTTGGGATAACAATATGAAATGGTTTTATTTTATTTTTCCCAAATACTACGTTTGACCTTGCACTGTTAAATTTCCCTATTCTCTATCTTGAAAATATCTTAGACACATTTTATAGTTTTGCAGTTATTTCTATTTATTAAAAACATTTCAAGTTTAAAAATATATTAGTATATCTAACTTAAGTCTCACTTACCTGTCTTCACTCTCATCCCTGACCAGGTTTTTGGCTGAGGAGACATGATAGCTTCTTGGACTTTTGAAAACTCTTAGAAGGTTTCTATAGTGGTAAAGTGGTCTACATACTTTATGAAATTCCCAGTGTTGCTAATTTTTTTAAAGCTCCATAATTTCTAAACTGTCTGACACAGCAAGATTATTGCTCTTTAGAGCTCCTGGGAAGTTTTAATATTATGCTTTGGCACTCCATAGCAGAGTGTTGGTCTTAGGGGAGAGTAACCAAAAGATGTTCCCCAAAGGAACCCTTTATAGAGAAACCTTAATGTAAGGTCAATTGGAATTTGAAACGCAAAGAGAGGTAGCATCCTGTAATTAAACAAATGTGACACTGGATATCCATACATCTATTCTAGATTCACTTTCTTTTTTAAGGAAGAGATTCTGTTTTATTCATGAGGATAAAACAAATAGGATGGAGTACATAAGTGATTTCAAATGATTTTTAGTTACAGAATTCTTCTTTCTTCCCTTCCCTGTCCTTCTCTTTTCTTCCCCTCCTCTCATTTACTTTATCTTTTCTCTCCCACACACTCTCTCTGACCTCTCTCTTTCTTTGAAAGCTTATAAGAAAGTTCCATACATAAAATGTATACAAGTAGACAGCTCTAGTTGAAACCAGGATCCCAGACCGGGGGTCAATTGATCCACTCCCCACTTACCCTCTCACTGTGTTGGCATCTGAGGTTCTCCATGTTGTCAATCAAGTGAGAAAAAGTACTTATAAAAAGTGCCATTCAGGTTTGCCTCCTAAGAATATGTAACATGGATCAAATATGCTATTTGATCTGGACTGGTCGATTGATTAGAGATACAAAATGAGAAGTTGTAATGTGAACTTGTTGGACTATGGAAAATTCCAAAAGCTAGAGAGAGAGAGACAGAGAGAGAGTAGAATATGCAATTGCCCAGAGAGGTGAGATTTCAGGGCTGCCTAAAATTTCAGGGCATTTGAGTTGCTGGTTGCGGTTCTTTATGAGTCTTGAGTGCTTTGGATTCTGTGATATTTCCCTGCATGCTTCAAATACAAACATGTACATAGATGTAGATACAGATATAGATGTAAATTTTTCTGCTAGTTTGAATTAGATTTCTTTTGCTTGAGACCAAGGGAACTGTGATGTATGTGGAGGCTTAAGTGAGAGAAAAGTGACCACAGAAGTTAGTCTGAAGCACTTGTTATACATTTCAGTTATCTATAGAGAATCTTTAAAATGTGTATATCATTTGACTTATATATTCTACTTCCAAGGATATTCCTTAAATAAATGACTGGAGCAGACAAATATATCTGCACAGATAATTTTCACATAGCATTATTTATGACAACAAAAATAGAAACAAGTTAAATGTCCAAGAGCAGGCTAATAGTTAAGAAAGAATGGTATAGTCATGTAATGAGCAATTGTGTGGCCATTTCAAATGTTTTCTAAGAATGTTTAATATAGGCTGTCACCCTAAACAACCTCAGGAGGTATATTGTAGCCATGTGAAAGATATCCTTCAGAATTGTGCAGTGTCTAGCCTTGAGTATACAATACCCTGGTTTAATGACACATTAAACATTAAACAAGGTTTGACTTTATATTACCATCAAGTAAAAATGTAGCGTCCCCACAAAGCTATATTTTTGGTATAATCTCAAATACATAGGTTACAAATTTCAGTGAACATATAGATGCAGTAGAGTACTCCCTCAGTATCTGTGGTGGATTGGTCCAAAACCCGCAGATGTTCCAGTCTCTTACATAAAATGGCATAGTATTTGCATATAACCTATGCGCATCTTCCTGTTTACTTTAAATCTCAGATTACTTCTAATACTTAATATAATGTAAATGCTATGTAAATTGTTGTTATGCTGTCTTGTTTTTTATTTGTATTACTTTTTATTGTTGTATTGTTATTTTTTATTGTTTTTTCCCCTAATATTTTAAACAATTCTTTTGGGGTATTTTCTATATTTTTCCATAATGAAGACATATTATTGTTGAGTTCAGAAAAAAATATATAATTTTAATTTTAATGGTCATATTAATAGTCTGTTAAAATAAACATTAAGTACTGGGTTTATAAATAACAAAATCCTCTATTGTATCACATATCTACTGTACTCAGGTATCACCTTCATGGCAAGTTTGTGGCACTCAACTATTAATTTTTCTTTTATTATTCAATACTATTTGAGGAATCCTCTTTAGCTATGGATTCCCAAAGTGAGGGTCCTCTTCTAATTCTAATAAAGGTGTGACCAGCCTTGAATATACTGAGAAATAACCTCATGTTTACTACAGTTAGTGATTCTGTTGATGTAATATATAATTCTGATTTCACAAACTTCTTAACTGTATAGAAGATAGGATTCTCCAGGGGTTTTCCAAAATCAATAACAAGCTTTGATTTTTCCAGGCTATAAATGGCCTTCACCTCTGGATGTACTGATTTTTCCATTTTCAAACTGATGACTCAAAAGCCGGTGTAAATGGCCTCCTGGGATATGGTAAAGATTAGTGTAATTTAGACTAACAGAAAATACCGTAGTTAACGATGGCATAAACGTATGAACAAAGCTAAGCACGTTAACACCTTTACAGAAAAGGGAATCTGAAAGGCGCTGGGGACGCCTGCTTAGATGTTACCAATAGCAAATTCCCATCATGGGGATAAACCAGATGAGCTCGCACATCCAATACATGTATGTCTTCTCTTCAACATGTCATAATTTCCCAGTAAGTTTCAAAGGAGGGCTGCAGCAGCCTCACATGTGAGAACCTGAGCTGTGTGATACCCTATTACTTCCTCTTGTACTTGCTCTTCATGATCCCTGGTAAGGTCCATGGTCTGGGAAAGCTAATCGATTAGAAAATAATGCTAACTAACCAGTGGTCACACCTTGAGTCCACATCCAAGCACCACGCCTATATCGGAGGCATGTATTTCTATTGCTAATTTGGTCTTTCATCTTGAAGGCAAGTGCCAATAGTCAAAGAAATATACCCATCTATTACTGAGCTCTGTCCTGTGTGTTCAGTCACGGTTTCAGTACTCTACATACATTATTTATACTCCCTATAAAACTCTTTAAGTAGGTTTTCCCATGTCCACAATACAGAAGAGGAAACTGAGGCACAGAGATTTTTAAATGATTTGCCCGTGGTCACTCAGTTAGTAGTGTCTGATCCAGCATTCAAACTTGTTTTTAAAGCACAAATTTTTCTCTTTACTCTATACTTTGATGCTTTCTTCCTATTACAGTCATCCCTCAGTATCCACTGCAGATTGGTTCCAGAACTCCTGGCCTATACCCAAATCCAGCAATACTCAAGTTCCACAGTTGGCTCTGTGGAACTGCAGATATGAAGTCAGCCCTCCACACATGTTGATTCCACATCCCACCAAGACTGTGTTTTCCATCCATGGATGGCTGAAAAAAAATCTGCATGTAAGTGAATCTTCACAGTTCAAACCCGTAATGTTCAAGGGTCAACTGTATTAAGATTACAAGGGTGAGATACTCAGTGTTGACAGTCAATAGCTTATCTCTGTGTAGGGACAACATATTATAGCATATTATTTCTATCCAGTAGCTTTGATGAGTCATTATTTTTCAAGTGGTTTGTTATCTATTAGTTACCTATTGTGGCATAATAAATTACCTCCAAACATAGCTGCTTAAAACATTTTTAATCTCATAGTTTCTGTACATCAGAAATCCAACCGTGGCTTAGCTGGGTGCCTCTGTCTCATGAAGTTGCAAGCAAGCTGTCAGGCTGGGGCTGTGGTCTTACCTAAAATTTCAACTCATGTGGTCCCTCACCAGGTGAGCCTCATGTCATGGTAGCTGGTTTCACCCAAGATAAATGACTCAAAAGAGAATAAGAAAGAGCACAAGATAGAAGATGCAGTCTTTTCTAACTTAATCTTAAAAGTGAAATCCCATCTCTTCTGCTGTATTCTATTCATCAAACATGAATCAGTAAATCTGGGTTATACTCAAGGAGAGGAGATTGTACAGGGAAATGAACACCAGAGGATGGGGATCAGTGGGGACTGTCTTAAAAACTGCCTCCTACATGACTTAACATCATTGTTCTGGAAATAGAGGACTCTCATATATCCTTTACGTTTTCTACAACTCCAGAATTGTTATAGTCAGAACACTAGTGCCAACTAGCCGAATGCCAACTTAATATGACCTAAACAAAAAAGGAAATTTATTGACTCAGGTAACTCAGAAGCCTATATAATGGGTTCAGCTTCTGATAGAACTTAAAAAGTATATTTTAAAATCTGGTTTTAAAAATTATAGCCCACTGGCCTTGATGATTTACAAGAACATTTTTCTACTCTATGTAAAATCCTGTCATGTTTAGTAACAAATTACCACAAACTGAATGATTTAAAACAACAGAAATTTATTCTCCCACAGTTCAGAAGCCCAAAAGTCCAAAGTCAAAGTTTTGGTAAAGTTGGTTCCTTCTGGATACACGTCTGTCCCAGCTTTTGGTGATTGCCAGCTAACCTCAGTGTTCCTTGGCTTGTGGCCACATCATCCCGATCTCCATCATCACGTGGCCTTCTTCCCTGCCTGTCTCTGTTATGTCCCCTCCTCTTCTTATAAGGACACCAGTCATTGCATAAGGGTCCACCCCAATCTAGTATGAGCTCATTTTTACTTGATTATATCTGCAAATAAGGTCACATTCACAGATACTGGGCTTATGATTTCAACATATCTTACTGGGGAACACAATTCAACCCACAGTACTAGGTTTTATGATTTAAAAAAAAAAATTTGCATTAAAAATGGGAAGAATTTTCTTCCAGATCCTGGCATTTCACTTTATTGGTCCCTACGAATAAACAACAATATATAAAAGACAGGTTATAAATTATAATTTGATTATGACTCCTACTGTGTCAATCCAGCATTTCATGAATGTCTTCACATTATCATGGGTTTTTTATTAGAAATGTGCTGTCTACATAAACTGTTAAAATTTATGTACTCACTTTCTAATTCATACTTATCAAATGATCCTTTTTCTACCACTAAACAGTCTATAACTTGGGTAGGTGTTACATGTTTAACATCACTGTGCTGAAGAAACCTGTTTAAACAAATCACAATGCTGTGATGCAGCACAGAGCTCCAAGGCAAAAACATTTTCAGCTTCTTCCTTTTAAAGTCACGCTGGTGTTTACAACTGTAGGCAAACTACAGATTGCTTCAAGTGTTAGGTCATCATTCTCCTACAACCCTCCCAAATCCTATTCCAGATAAGAGATCTGAAATTCCAGCCTCCACACTGACACTGTGCCTGCATATGGAATTCTCTGCCTGCCCTGGTTTGGCAGCCGATCTAGAACTGAGAATTCATGTTTTCTTATTTCGCTTTAAGCAGGACTATCAGTTTCTAAGAATATTTCTCACAACTCTGTAATTTTGGATTAAATTGTCAACATGTTAAATTAAAACATTTTGTTTGTTAATTTAAAATATCCAGGCAGGTTTCGAAATTTTTGTATAAAAATGAAACAAGTAGATATTACCTAATAAAATGATCATTGTCTTTCTTATATTCTTTTATTTCCTCACTGTCTTAGTCTGAGTACCTTGGAAAACAGTCTGAACCAAAACTTATGCACTAATGCTCTTCGGTGGGGGTGGGGTGGCTATATGCAAGGAAGGAAAAAAGAAAAGTGAGGTAGGAAAGTGAAGCAGATATGAATCCAGCTGTCAGCAATTATGTAAGAAGAGGCAATCAATCGTTTAGCTTGTTTAGTCATATGGAATATCTCTGGATAAGTCTCATGAAATCACTACATCTGGGAGCTCTTAAGTGGGAATAGGCATGGTATAGAAGCAAGAGAAATTTATCTGATGGTTCAACTGTCTCTCCTTGGCCCAAGTCCACCCAAGGGGGCATTAATTCACCCACATTCCTGGATTGAATTTCCTGACTCTTCCACACAGCCAACAGAGAAACCCTAGTCTCCACAGCTCTTACCTGGCCAGGGGTTAGGGGCATTGGCCTCTACTTACCATTTAGGAACTTCAGGATCTGTAGTGCAATGGCAGTAGTTGGACTTTATCACTTTGGAAATTGTGATTCAAAGCTAGGGTTCTTCAAGTCAAGAACAAAGGCAGGTAGTTGAGGTCTAGAGAGCAGGAGTTAGAGGAACCTGTTGGGTAGCACATAAATTGAGTCTGGTGAACCCTCAACACTATGGATGTTTTTTTTTTTTTTTTTTTTTTTCCTTTTTTTTTGTCTTTTTTCGTGTCCGGCAACGGGATCGCAACCCTTGGTGTTGCTCCCGCACCTCGCTCAGCCAGTGAGCGGGAACCGGTCTGTATGTGGGATCCGAACCCTCAGCGGGAGCGCCACCGCGCTCCCAAGCGGCGCACTGTAGCAGTGTGCCACCGGGCTGGCCAACACTATGGATGTTCTGATCTGTGAAAGAACTTCTGATTTTTACTGCTGGATTGATCTTTAAAGATCGTTTATTCCAAATGTGACTTTAAAAATATGAGGAAATATCCCCATTTACAGTTAAGATGGAGAAACAGGAACAGTGTTTACCCTTTCATCTGAAACAATCCTCTCAAAAAACAAAATACATAAAACAACAGTTTACAAGATACCAGACATCAGATGATGAAGGATAGTGATACCTGAGAGACAGGAAACAGAAAAGGTGATCCCTATGAATGCTGACACTTCTTAAAGAGAGTTTCCATGCCAAAGGGTAGAGATCTAGTAGGATCCCAGTAGACTCCCTGTGTGGAGAGATAGAGCTGATAGTATGGGTAGCCTGAGGCAGCTAGAATTTGAAGAACTGTGTACCAGAGAGAAGAGAGCAACATAGAGAAAAAACTTCAGAAATCTGTAAAAAATACCCCTTGAGTATGCAGCTGAATACTGACTAACAGATGCATGCAAAGAGGCTACACCAGGCTGAGGAAAGAACTACTTGATAGTGTTAGAAGTAACTGTGCCTCGAACTCATGCAAGAATGGGGGAAGTGCTTGTTACCACCAGCCATACTGGAAAACCTCAGGATTTAAAGGGAATTGTGTAAAGTACACAAAAGAGAGTTGCCTGAATAGTGAGATTATTTAGTACTAGACTAAACACTTCTCTGCTTCTGCCTAAAACATCATAAAAGCAAGACCCAAAAGAAAGACTCTGGGGGCCGGCCCGGTGGCGCACTGGATAGTGCGCCGCTTGGGAAGCGCGGCGGCGCTCCCGTCCGAGGGTTCGGATCCCGCATACAGACCGGCTCCCGCTCACTGGCTGAGCGAGGCGCGGGAGCAACACCGAGGCTTGCGATCCTGTTGCCGGTCCCTGGTCCGGTACGGGGGCAACACTGAGGGTTGCGATCCGTTGCCGGACACGGAAAAAAGACAAAAAAGACAAAAAAAAAAAAAAAAAGAAAGACTCTGTTTCAGAGTAAGTTATCTACATTATGGAACAAAGCTCAAGAATATTTACATGAAAACAAAAATATCCAAAACTCAATAAAATAAAATTTACAATAAATAGAAAAAAAAAATATAGGCATGCAAAGAAGTAAAAAAATATGAGCCATGCTGAGGAGAAAAAAGCAATCAAGGGAAATGAGTCTAGAATTTCCATAGATGTTAAAATTAGCAAACAAGGGCATTAATGCTATTATTATAACTATTTCACATATTTTCAAAGAGTTAAGTAGAGATGTGGAAGATACAAAAACCATCCAGTTTAAACTTCTAAATATGGAGACTGATGTGTGGGATGAAAAATATTCTAGATGGGATTAAGTAAGTTAGAAGTTGTAGAAGGAAATATTAGTGAACTTGAAGACATAGCAATAGAAATTATCCAAAATAAAACCCTGAGAGAAAAGAGAGTGATAATAATAAAAAAAATTACAAAGGAAATCAGTTATTTGGAGGACAGTTCATCAGAGTCTACTAATATGTGATTAGAGACTCTGAAGAAGATTGCATTATTAGAAGAAAAAAGTGACTAAAAAATTTGCAGAACTAATAGATACAAGAAGTTCAGTGACTCCCAAGCTCAAGAAACAAAGAAAATTATACCAAGGCACATGATAATCAAATTGTTTAAGTCCATAGATAAAGAAAAAAAAATATTAGAAGAAACTGGAGAAAAACACATTACATGCAGTGAAACAAAGATAAGTATGGCAGCATATTTCTCTAAACTAACAATAATTATCACGGTGGAAGTGAGAAGACAGTGAAGCAACATCTCTCAATACTGAAAGAAAATACTTTAAAACCATAATTCTATACCCAGCAAATATCTTTCAAAAAGATATTTTTGAAAAATATAAGTAAAAATAAATCATTCTAAACAGACATGCAATATAAGAAATGTTAAAGACAGTTCTTCAAACAGAAGAAAAATGATACCAGATGGAAATATGAATCTACACAGCGATTGAAAAGCACTGGGAATAGTAACTTCATGGGTAAATGTATACAATTTTTATTTCTTATTATTTAAGCATTTAAAAAATATAGTTGTTTACAAATAATGACAGTGTATTGGGGGCTTTATAACATATGCAAAAGTAAAATGTGTGACAGTATTGTAAGGTTCTTACATTATAGGTGAAAAGAATGGGTATAATATCACTTGAAATTAGATGGTGATAGAGATGTTCACTTAACTCTCAAGAAACCACTGAAACAACAAATATAGTCATAGCTAATAAAAAAAAGATAAAATGAAATCATGAAATAACATTTAATTAATTTAAGAGATGGCAGATAAAGAGGCAAAGGGAAGTATATAACAAATGGGAAAAATAAAAAACAAATAGCAGATGGTAAATTTAAAAATAACCATCTCAATAACCACAATAAATGTAAATGGCCTAACAAAAAATGACTATTTTGTGTGATGTTGAATATACTAATTATCCTGATTTGAGCATCACATATTGCACACAGGTATTGATATTCAATGTGGTACCCCACAGATATGTTTTAAAAACATACCACAAACCACTTAAAAAATAAAATGGCCCTAAATGGGATAAATGATAGATGTCCTGTCAGATAGAAAAGCAAGATCCTTCAATATGCTGACTACAGGAAGTACAGTTCAATAATAAAGATACAAATATGTTAAAAGAATTTAAACATATATACCATGCTAACAGTAATTTTTAAAAAGCTAGAATGTCTATATGAGTATCACAGTAGATTTCTGAGTAATACTACTTCTAGGCATTAAAATGTTCATTTTGTAATGGCAAAGGAGTTAACTCAAAAGAGTAAAACAATACTTATCTAATGGAATCTACAAAAAGCTACTTGAATGTTAAATATATTTAGCAAGCTTGCACAATACAAAATTAATATATAAAAGTCTATTTCTCTATACTGGCAATACATATTTAGAAAACAAAATTGAAAGAACAATATATTTACAGTAACATCAAAACTATATGATACTGGGCCGGCCCGGTGGCGCACTGCTACAGTGCGCTGCTTGGGAAGCGCAGCGGCGCTCCCGCCGAGGGTTCGGATCCCACATACAGACCAGCCGCTCACTGGCTGAGCGAGGTGCGGGAGCAACACCGAGGGTTGCGATCCCGTTGCTGGTCCCGGTCCAGTACAGGTGCGACACTGAGGGTTGCGATCCGTTGCCGGTCACGAAAAAAGACAAAAAAAGGAAAAAAAAAAAACCAACTATATGATACTTAGGTACAAATTCAACATAAGATGTTCAGGATTTTATATGGAAAACTGTAAAACATTATAGTGGAGAGAAATTAAAGAATGCCTAAATTAATGGAGATAAACCATGCCTATGGGTAGGATGTCTCTCTCCTCTCTCTCTCTCTCTCTCTAACATATAATATGTCTATATACACAGATATACACAAATATACATACATTCATATATACAAACCAAATCAAAATTCTAGCAGGCTTTTTAAAAAATAAAAACTGACAAACTGATTCTAAAATTTATAATGAAATTCAAAGAAGCTAGAACAGCCCCTGTAGCCATAGGCATAGTTACAATGTTTCCAATTATGGATTCTTTAACAACAAGTAATCTGGGATGAAAATTCATAAAATATGATATTTACAGTAACCCTCACTTCACCTAGTATTTGGAGTTTCTCAAGCTTTGGCTTGTGTTAGAATCATCTGGAGGCTTGTTAAACACAGATTGCTGGGCCTCATCCCCAGAGTTTCTGATTGAGTAGATCTGGAATGGGTCCAAAAAATCCATGTTTCTGCCAAGGTGATGCTGCTGCTGCTAGAAGACCAGCCACACTGAAATAAATGCCCTAACTGGAAGGAAAAGAAACCATTCATGCAGTTGAATTTCAATTAAAGCTATGGTTTAATTTAAATATGCCCAGGAGCAGACCATCTTAGTAACTCAATGGAAATACTCCTGCCAGGAGCTCATCTCTCCCTCCCTGTTTCTTGGATCTATTCAGATTACTGTGAATCTGTTTTGTAGGTGGAGTCACAACTGTGTTTAATTTTCAGTTTTAAAATGTTTAGTGGCAAAGAAAGCACTGTCTACAATTGAATTCTCACAGAACCAATGTACTGATCATTTAGAAGTTCAATAAAGTATTTTTACAGTGCCTATTTGGTTTCACACACTGTGTTAGGCACTGGGGATTCAATGGTGAGGAAGTCAGCTGTGGTCTTTACCTCTGGGAGCTTTCTATTTATTGGGAAAATTGTTATAGCAATAATCAGCCAAATAAAAAAGCACAATTCTGACAAGTGTATAGGAGAGCTGTAAAGATTATTGAAGATCAGCACAATTATAATGTTTACATTTTTGAAAAACTATATTTCTATTACTTGATTGGATACTGGTATGTGCATCCCATTTCAAAGACAATTTCTAATATAGTTTTCACACGATAGTATTGCTGTTTCCCATTTTAACTTTCACTGCTTCTGATTTTACCTCTGAATTTGTGTTTTCTCTTTATCTTGTAAGCTGTTCTAATTTCTATCTTTTGTTACTCTTCTATTTTTAAAAATGATGGTGTCACTTTGTTCAATGTTTATCTTTTCTTCATCTGATTTCATCTCAACTAAAATAGACCTCTTGTTTAATTTATTATGGTGACTCAAAGTTATGAATGCCAGAGTTGCTTGGGAATTGTTCATTCCATGTTTCGGCATTCGTAAAATATTTTTTCAACAAATCACAAGATTGTAGCTAGTGATTTTCCATCTCTAAATGAATACCGAGTCTCTACACTTCTTGTTCCTTAATTATACCAGGCCATAAGAAAGCCTGGGCCTCAAGATCCTGCGACATTATATACTACTTTTGCATTACTTCGCTCATTTTAGCATTAAAAAAAAAAACAAAAAAAACCCTCTGTGGTCTTAGCATTTTGCCCATCTCTTGGTAAGTGAAATAGGTTCTATTAACTTAAAGAGACTACAGTTTGGTTGGGAAGAAAGGAACATAAACAGACCATTACAATAAAATGTCAAGAACACTGTATCACAGGGAAGCCCAGAAAAGTAAAGGACAAAGGACACATCACATTTTCTTCTTGTTTAGGCCCCTTCCATGATGAATTTTTTTTTTTTTTTTGTCTCTTTCCGTGTCCGGCAACGGATCGCAACCCTCGGTGTCACTCCCACACCTCGCTCAGCCAGTGAGCGGGAACTGGTCTGTATGTGGGATCCGAACCCTCGGGCGGGAGTGCCGCTGCGCTTCCCAAGCGGCGCACTTATCCAGTGCGCCACCGGGCCGGCCCATCACATTTTCTTCTTGTTTAGGCCCCTTCCATGATGAATTTTAATTCAGTAACTTTTCCCATTGATTTTCTTCAAATCCTGAACATGGGCTGTGAAATAACATCTCCGACATGTTGACTTAGCAAGCACCACCCAGCATCTGGTGCTTTGGTCCACACTGTAAGCAGATCTGTCACTGACCTGTACTAGTTTACGTTATAATGGTTCCTATCGGGGCACCCATGTGATAATTCATTAGATGTGATAGACTGGAAATAGAATTTAGTCACAGCAAAATTGTCTATTTTAGGTAAAATATTTCAGAGCAAATAGTTGCTAAGTAGCTGCACAGTGTGATTCATATTCTGAAATTGATAAAGCTGTAAAAAAAAATAGAAGTTAGTTTATTTAAAATGTTTTCTCATTTTGTCTAGTGATGCTAAATTGGGGACTTCCAATACTGTAGCACAAACTTATATCAAAACACATTGATCATTAAATTCTGCAGGAAGCAGCAAGTGGTATCTGAAGTCCCTGCTGAGGACACCGTAAGATTTGATGCACTGAGACTTAAGGTAGGTTTTCCCACCTCTTCCATTGTCTTACCTTGTACGAAGGAGAAGGGGAAGGAGAAGGGGAAAGGGAAGGAGAAGGGGAAAGGGAAGGGGCAGGGGAGGAGGAGGAGGAGGAGGATGAGGAGGAGGAGGAGGAGGAGGAGGAGGAAAATGGTATTAAATCAAATAGTTATGAGTTGTATGTTTCCAAAGAGGACAAGAGAATAATATAGGTAATGGGAACATCTATCAATTTAATCTTACTCTCTTTTCCCACCAGATGGTATGCCCCGAAGGCAGAGACTGTATCATACCTGTCTGTGCTGGTAACACTCAGTTCACTGTTCTTTACTTGGTTGGCATTCAATTTAAGTATTTGGTGATGATTATAAAAATAATGATGATGAAGTTTTAAAAAATTTTAAATTAACTTAAATTCTGGGAAGATTCTATAATAAAAGTAAATTGTAATATTTTCCCCTGTTCTATTCTTTGTTCTTTAAGACATTTCATAAGCATGGCTTGCCTATTCAGAGTGACAACATGCATTTATCAAAAAGCATGAATTTTTTAAATCTCTTGAGTCAGATTGATTCAAAATAAATGTCTTTAAAATTCTAATTTAATGTTCTCAGAAAATCTTGCCATTATGAAAGTCACATTCATATGTTCCTGTGAGAGTCAGGGGAGAGATTTGAATTTCTACTTGATTTCTTGCTTCTACTCAGTTTTGTCCCAAGATGTCAAATTCATCTCTCACTTGTGACTTTCATAGGAAGATATGATAGCTCCATTGGCAGAAGGGAAAGCACTATATAATTGTCAGTATTTTTATAGCAACAAGTTGCTGGATCAACAAAAGATAATTCAGATTGAGCCATTTGTATTTTTGCAGCTATGAATTAATTTTTCATAGCAGCAGTATGTAACTTTCCTTTTATGCCTACTTAACAGTCTGTGACTTGGGGGTCCTTTGTTGCCTTTGAATTGTCAGTTATTGTGTTTTATTTTTATTCTGTGAAAGCAGAATAAAATAATACTGTGTTTTATTTTTATTCTGTGAAAGCAGAAAACATTTCTTTTAAAAACGTGTAATGACTATAAAAGGAACTGACACTGTATGAAAGTTACTGTTAAAATGAAATGCTAAACGTTGAGCTTTTTAAAGAACTGGAGAAAATTTACATGAATTTCTAATTATGCTTTATCAGCAAAATAAAGAATACAAAAGTCTAGATTTAGGGTAAATCTACAAATGAATCAAAATTGCTTTTAAAATGCTTTCTCTTTGCCAGATGATCAAAATACTTATTTTTCTTTTGTATGAAATATAATCTATTCTATGCAGCCTTCCCAATTGGCTGAAAATTAACTGGAAAACTCTACTTTGCTCTATTTTTTAATATCCACCTTGGTCGTATCTCTTCATTTTGTATTTTATAGTTTCTTATACTATCTCCTTTAATAATCTGTTCTTTATCAATCTAGGTGTATATATCCTTCTTGCCGTCACTGAAGATTATATATACTTGTTGTATTAGATTGAAAACTGATACTACAATGGGTAATCACCCATTTGCTTCCACAGCAAATAAGAGCAAAAAGAGGATAAATGTTTTTATTGTTCAGAAATTATACTAATAACCCCTTAGTAAAGATGGGTAAAGATGAAATCTTCATTAATTTTTGTTAATTTTTCCATTTCAGAGCAAGTTTGACTAAAATAGTGGGCATATTGAAGATAAAATCTATTTTGTTTAATTTATTTTATATTGCTAATTAACAAACCTTGTGAAATTTAAAAGGAAAACAGTGGACTATAAATTAAAAATTGAGCTACATTCCTGAATTTGTGTGTGACTGTGAACAGGTCAACTCTCAGTTATCTTCAGGTGGATTATGAAGAAGTAATAAGCCTCTAGAATTTTCTAAGGGTCAGAAGTAAAAATCCCTTCAACTGTTTTTCTTTAAAAAATGTTTAAAGAGCATAAAATTGATATGCAAGGCTAGATATAATGGCTCATTTCAGACTACCACATAGTTAGTGATATTGTTAAATTAAAGCTATGTTTAATTAGAATTTGATAGCTCCCATAAAGACGGACATCATGCTCTCCATGTGTGACTAAGGCCATACGTCTTGTATACAGTTTTTCAGTCTCACCATAACAGTTATCACATGAGATTAGAATTACTGAGGAGAAAGGTCAATAAACACAGCAAAACACAGTTTCTTGAGACAAATATTGTCAGCGTAACATAAAATATTAAATGATTTCTGCAACAAGAACTATAATGGGCATTATGTTCTCAAATTAAGCTACAAAATGCTAGATATGTCATTTCAGTTGGGTCGAATAGGAATAAAGCATTAAAGACATCAGGCAACATTATAAAACTGTGTTTCTTATATCTAAGTTAAAGTCATGCAGGAAACAGCCATAAAACTTTTACTCCTCAAATTCCAGTAACAGTTTCCTATCTTCTTTTTTTTACATTCTTCTGTAGTTCTCTTGTATCCTGGAATAGTTTTTCTTGTGATGTATGTTTCATAGTTACTCAATTTTTCTTGCACATCAGTTTTGAGATTCCACTGTATGTACATGGATTATGTGCCACCTGCCCCATCCTCCATTGTGGTTTACCCTGCTATAATACGCACATTACATTAGCAAGAATGAATTTTTCTTCCTTTGCATCTTCTCTTTTCTTCGACACTCTGGTCATAAACATCTTTTTAAATGTGGATTTATCTTCTACAGATGAATATTACATAAACTTAAGACAAGCCATCAGCCAAAAATACAGATGTAAATAATATATTCTTAGACAGGCTTATTATATCAGCCGAAATAAAAAGAAATTTCCTCTGTATTTGGGCTTGTCCTTGGCAAATCAATGTAAGAGGCTGACCAAAATATAATGTAATTCCTTTGGGATTGCTATTTAAAGAAAGCAAAACAAAAATGCTCAAGTCTTACTCGTTCTCTTATATATTCCTCTTGGGGCACATAAATAATAAAAACAATTTAACCAACAGGCACAAATTCATGTCCTCCTTCCCAATTTCTTCTTCCTTTTTGGTTAGGGAGACAGCAACTAAGTCGCATTTTTTTTTTTTAGTGTAAATTTGTTTGTATTTGTAAAATTTTACAAAATAAAATTTTCACTAGTATTCTTAAGAAAATTCCAACTGGATACAATATAATCCACACAACAAAAAGTCAGGCCTAGAGGGAAAACCAAAGGTCAAAAATTGGTTAAAGAATCTTACAACTCTGATATAACAGCTTGTACCACACAAACTCTCCAGTCAAAAACAACTATAAGGGCCGGCCCGGTGGCACACTCGGTAGAGTGCGGCACTTGGGAGCGTGGCGGCGCTCCTGCCGAGGGTTCGGATCCCATATAGAGACCGGTCCGTTCACTGGTTGAGCGCAGTGCGGGCGCGACACCGAGGGTTGCGATCCTGTTGCTGGTCACGAAAAAAGACAAAAAGGAAGGGATCCTGTTGCTGGTCACGAAAAAAAAAAAAAAAAAAAAAAAAAAAAAACTACTATAAAATCTCAGGTAAAAAATTTTAGCTTATTTAGGTATTAGAGACCAACTAAGACACACAGGATTGGAGGTACAGAGCCCAAAGAGAAGAGAAACACACTAAAGGGAACTGCACTTTCTTAGTTGCTTTTTTCCCATTGAAGCATTTACCATTATTTGCCATGACCTAGTATGGACACAGTGTCTAAGCAGAAAGTGGCGGAGCAGAATTTTTGTCAAATCCATGGGATGAGGAGATAAAAATGTAATGGCTACCAAGGTAGTTCAGACTCAAAAGACCAAGATCCCAGAGAAAATGGATTTATAGAGAAGTGATGCCAAAATTTTTGTCTTAAGGCATTGGTCAAGCATTAAACTGCCAGGGCATAAGACACTAAGAAACTAAGAAGAAAACAGCCCTGAAGGCTATAAAATATGTTGAGCAGCCTTATAGCACTGCAGAAATACAAATTGGAAATTAGAGCATGACAAGGAAGAGAGGCTATGGTGACACACTATATTTTCAAGAATAAGGACAAAGTGAAAATACAATAACTCTTGCAATGTCCGAAACCTATTTTTATACTGTATTAATCCCTGATTAGACCAAGGGAGTCTGACCCTACTCTAGAATGATTAAATCTTCTTTGCAAAGATAATACCATCCAGAGATGATTACCTTGGTAGTTTTTTGTTTTTTAATGGATACACACTTATCTCCTTTCTGGTGTTACAAAATTTAGCAAATATAAATACTGGAAACCCAGTGACACACACACACACACACACACACACACAAAGTATGGGAATATGTATATATATATATAATAATTCAATTAAAGTTCTAGAACTGAAGGAAAAAATAATTAAAATTTAGTACTCAAGGGGTAAATTTAACAGCAGATCAGATACAAGAAAACAGAAGTTTAGTGAACTGAAAGATAGGTCTGTAGAAAATAAGCAGAATGAAATACAAAGAGAAAAAATGGATGGAAACATAAAAAAGAGATTAGAGACATAAGTAATATTAGAACTGGTGTAACATATGTGTAGAAGGAAAGTAGGGGACAGAGAGAAAGAGGCTGAAGCAGTAGCTAGAGACTCTGGTAAACATTCTCCAAAGCTGAAGAAAGACGTCAAGTACAGATCTTTGAAGGAATACTCTCCCAAATTATAGATACTGAAATGCCACATCTAGACACCCTGTACTAAAACTGGTGAAAAAATAAAAATGAGAGAAAATCTTAAAAGTATCCAGAGTTAAAAAAAAGACATTATTTGAATTTTCAAACTAGCAGTAAAGGACTCATATTTTTACATCCTTGTAATACATATTTTTCTAATCTTGCTCAATTATTCGGCTCATTCCAGCATCCCTCATCCTGGGAACTTGTAAAAAACACCACCCCCAACAAAAATGCCTGGGTCTGGGTATTCTGAATGAGAGAATCATGTTTCTTTTAAAAATCAGCTGGAAGACATCTAATTCATTTTCCCTCTTCCAGGTTGAACTCTTTTCCCGTTTGTAATTTTACTTTAGAAATGAGGGGATAACTCTTGTGTCTTGATTGATTGGGAATTTTAATCTTTTGGACCACACCTCACTACTATGACTGGATCTTCATGATCTCCTAATCTCATCAGACTCTCTAGCAAATCTGTCCTCCATTGACCCATCCAATACCCAAACTTTGATATTCTCAAATTTGCAATGACTTTTGAAACTCAGATCTTTGTTTTCAGATCATAGTTCCATTATAAAATATTTACAATGATTCAAGGAATAATTATTTTCCAGTTGGGAATGTAGAACTATAATTTTTAAAGAGCATCTTTAGAATATAATATAGTGGCCCATCATCCTGGTGTCTTTTTAAACCAGATTTAAAAGACAATAACAAAGGTAAACTTTCAGTTTCTTTGGATTTATATTTTGCTCATTTTTCGTTGTGGGGTGAACTTTCATCTAAAGAAGGGACAAGGGCTGAGCCTGTGGCGCACTTGGGAGAGTGAGGTGCTGGGAGCGCAGCAGCGCTCCCGCTGCGGGTTTGGATCCTATATAGGGATGACTGGTGCGCTCACAGCACTCACTGGCTGAGCGCGGTGTGGCCGGTCTCAAAAAGGACAATAAATAAATAAATAAAGAAAGAAAGAAGGGACAAGATAACTACAGTGATCAATTTGAGGAACAAGGATTGATACAAGATAAATGAAGATAATTGATAGAAGTCGTTTATGAACTTCTGATAAGAAAAATGGAAAAGAGAAGAAGAGATAGGGAGAAGAGTTACTTAACAATAAGAAAACATTCTAGATCAGAGGAAGAGGGTCAGATTTATGCATTCAGATTCAACAAATAATTTTGAGCCTTTATTATATGCCTGCCTACGTACTGGGCTCTGAATAGAATGGAAAAGGCCCTTAAGTTCAAGAAACATGTATTCTAACTGTGGTATATCAGTTAGAATGAGATTGGCTGAATTTTAAAATTTTTAAAAAGAAAAAAAAAAACATTATTTTTCTCTAACCCAACATAGCCTAGAACTGGTACAGTGATTCTACACTCACCAAAATCATTCTCCATTTATATTTTTTCTCTACCACACATAGTAAATGGCTTCCATCCTCAAGGTAAATGACTGTTCAAAACAGCTGCTGGGGCAGTGACTTCTCACTCAATACCAGACAGCTAGATGTGGAAAGGGAAAAAAGAGGATGGGGACTGTTATCTCTTAATGAATCTTTCTGGTACACCCTCCCTAAAACTTCCACTTATAACTCACTGGCCAGAACTTAGTCATAAGGAAATCTGAGACTGCAAGGGAGATTGGGAAATAAAATATTTTTGTCAGTCATATTACTGTTCCAAATAATATTGGGTTATTCCTAAAGCAAAAAGGGAGAATAGATACCACATAAGGATCCAGTTGACACTATCATGGATAGAAACATGCACACATAGTTATTTAAATAAAATGTTACTCAATATCATATGCCAGTGGAATTATAATTATCCCAGTGTGGACGCTGTTTATTATTTTATAATTATTTGGTTTTTATCTTCTTCAGGCCACAGATTTATTTATAATGATGGGAAAAAATAAAGACACTCAGGTTGTCTGAGAGTTTGTTTTCTCCTAGCTGTCCCTGTCTATGATGTACATCTAAATCCACTTTTGTTCTTGCTCCATTCCCTAGCAGCACACTTTTTTAATGGGACTGGGAAAATTATTTAAACAGTAAATTTCACCTATTTGAGGACTTATTTGAAGATGCTGCCTTTGAAAATTTAAGACTAATGAGAGCGGTACAATAATATGTTAAGATTATTCACAAATAAAAATAATAAACATATATGTTCTTAATGATCTAAAATCCAGAGAGTTAGCACCAGACAATGTTAACCCAATACTGTTTCTGGTTAATTATATTAGGGATCTATCTAAATAAGTTCCAAAACCATCTTAAAGTTTCAACCCTATTATTCTTTCTTGTGGTTAATTACCAGTAGCAGAAGGACTGGATGTCTCTTTTATACACTAGTTTTGTAAAGTTAAACTCTGTTAGTGTTAAGGAGGACACTGATTGCTTCCCAGATCCTCCTTCCCTCCCCATAGACTACTTGAAAATAAATTGATAGTTAATTCCTTCTCTGAATCAACCTTTCAATTTCTCAGTATAGGAACTTTACAGTTTGCAGCATGATTTCCCAGGTAGTATCTCATTTTATTTTCACATCCATTCTACACAGTAAACAGTTTACAATTATTACCTCTGTTTTATAGGTGACGGAGGTTCAGAGGGTGAATGAATTGCTCAAGGCACTTGGTCTACAAGTAACAAAATTTGCATAATGACTGATTTTTAAAAATTTTGTTATAATTATTGCCCCTCTTATCTATGCATAGAAGATAAATTCTTTTTTTTCAGATGATTTTTCTATCTGCTGTTATCAATCAAAAGGACAAAGAAAATTCTTCTAAGTTGCTTCTGCCCTCCCCCTTCCATTTTCGCACTCTCTCACCCCTCTCTTCCTCTCAGGACAATTTGTTTTGTGGCTCTCTCTTAATTAAGACTCTTCTTCACCCATTGGTATAAAGAACAGGAATGAAATATCAAAACTTGCTCTGTAATTGTAGGTTCACTCCTGCTGTGAGGTTCAAGGGCAGGAATAAAATTTCAATTAAGCAATTACCTAAAAGTGCCATTGAAAGCCTTGAGTGTAACTATTCCTCTCCGTTGGCCATATGTTGAATTTCCATTCTTCCTGGTTTCTTCTCAGGTGGAAGTCTGTGCATATTGACATGTGTGTAATGGAAAGGCACCACATGAGGCCCGCGTTTGTATTTATACGAGCCCACTTCCTTCAACATCTGTGACAAGAATAGAATGGGGACCAGCAAGAGGCCCTCCACTTTCAGTGTCTCGTCAAAGTCTGGCTGTTCCTGGTCCTGTCATAATATGGAAATGGTCCCCTTCTTACTGTGCAAGCCACGCTCACACGTGGATTAGCCCTTTGAACATCAAGTTCATTTCTCTGCTTTTATTGTTAGTACTTGTAAATCAGACCCTGCGTACCGCCCAGACAGTTCTGTTTCCAACCGAGAAGACCGACTTAGGAGAGCCTTAAGAGGAAGAGACATCAAAGCTCATGAGAGTCAGCTCCCCTACGAAATGCCAATCAAGCCAAGCCTGATCATGTTTTCCTTTCTTTTAACTAGCAGACTTCATTGTCCAGCAACTTTCCAAGCACAATTATCACTCTATAGACACTCTAGGCACTTGAAATCAATCCCCACATGTACCCACTGGAATTACTTTGGAATAACAATAGGTTCTGTGGATATTTCTCAGTTTATTTAAGTACCATTTCCCCAAGGTTATAGTATATATTTTATAACTCTAATAGTTTTAATGGTAAATATAATGCTATGATAACTGATGTAGTATAATGCTAATATGTTACATTTGCAGTGTGTTTTAAATTTGTTTACATACTGTGTTATAGCTACTCTTTTAAATCATAAGTGGAGATTTTCTATGTGACCAGTGATATTTGAGTAAAGATACTAAAAATTTCACTGAAAAGGCTTAGTATTTTTACATCTTTATTCCCCTCTTGTTACTGACCTTGATGTTTAAGAAACAAAAACATGTGGAAGCGTCACTGCTCTTGTGTGTTAATCTAAAGAGGATCTGAAGCAGGAGTAGTCAGGAGTTTATTTTTAAATATTAATACCATTGGAAATACAAGGGGTCTTCAAAAAGTTTGTAGAAATATTCATATTATCACTTAATTCTATTTTTCCATGAACTTTTTGAAGTACCTTCAGAACTTCAAAAATGTCATAAAGAGAATTGCAGGAAGTCCTTAATTTTAAAGAAATGTGAAAAATAAAAAATATTATGAATTGAATCTTCTCCAGTCCCTATCCCCAGTGCCTGAGCCTGCCAAAGTCAACATAAGACTGCATTCTCCTTTGCAAACAGGAGATTTTGATGGCATCCTGTGGCATCAAGCCCACACTTCTCACTGTTGCATTCTAAACCCCAGTGGTCTTAACCTCTCTATCTCTACTTTCTCACCTCAAGTTTCAAATTTTACTGCAATTTCCTGAATAGTTTAAGCACCTGCACCATTTCCATGAATTCTCATCCTACAGTGATCATCCACTATTATGGGTTAAATTGTGTTCCCCAAAACATATATATCGAAGGCATATCCCCCACTATGTGATTTGAAAATAGGATCATTGCAGATGTAATCAGTTAAGATTTGGTCATACTGAATTAGGATGGGCCCTTAATCCAATTTGACAGGTGTGTCTTCATATGGCCGTTATAAGACAGCCACATGAAGACACAAACACACACGGGAAGGCCATATGAAGACTCAGACTGGAAAGATGCATCGGTAAGAAGTATTAGTAGTCATCAAAAGCTAGGAGAGGGGCATGAGACAAATTCCTCCTCAGAGGTCTCAGAAAACACTGGCCTTATTTACATCCTGATTTTGGACTTCTAGCCTAAAAAATGTGAGAGAATAAATTCCTGTTGTTTTAAACCATTCAATTTGAGGTACTTTGTTATGGCAGCCCTAGGAAATAACATATCCTCCATCTCCAACTGTTGACATCTACTCATTCTCTGGATCAGAGTTTGAATGCATTCACTGTCATCCCTGAGTCCTCCCTAAAGGATCTGTTGTCTTCTTTTTTGTTTTATTTTATTTTATTTTATCAATATACAATGTAGTTGATTTTCATGTCCCTTTACTGAATCCTCCCTCTTGTCTCTCTCCCATCCATCCTACCCATCAACATTGTATCTGCTCACTTGTCTTAACAAGTTCAAGGATTTGTGATTGTTGTGTCTTCTTCCTCATCCCCCCAGGTTGTTTGTGTATTTATTTATTTTTAACTCCAACAAATAAGTGAGAACATGTGTTATTTCTCTTTCCGTGCCTGACTTATTTCACAATATAATTTTTTCTAAGTCCATCCATGTTGCTGCAAATAGTAGTATTTCATTCTTTTTTATAGCAGAGTAGAATTCCATTGTGTAGATAAACCACAGTTTCCTTATCCACTCATCTGATGATGGACATTTGGGCTGGTTCCAACTCTTGGCTATTGTAAATAGTGCTGCAGTAACATTCCTCTGGGTATATTCCCAGCAGTGGAATAGCTGGGTCATATGGTAGATCTATCTGTAATTGTTTGAGGAACCTCAAAACCATTTTCCATAAAGGCTGCACCATTTTGCAGTCCCACCAACAGTGTAGGAGGTTTCCTTTTTCTCCGCAACCTCGCCAGCATTTATCATTCTCAGTCTTTTGGATATTAGCCATACCAACTGAGTGAGACCACACTTAGCAGAGTTAAAAGACAACCAACAGAGTGGAAAAAAATATTTGCAAAATATACATCTGATGAAGGCTTAATATCCAGAATATACAGGAACTCAAACAACTTTACAACAAAAAACCAAGTAACCCAATTAAAAAATGGGCAAAGGAATTGAATAGGCATTTCTCAAAGGTAGATATACGAATGGCCAACAGATACATGATAAAATGCTCAACATCACTCAGCATTTGGGAAATGCAAATCAAAACCACACTGAGATACCATCTGTTGCTTTCTATACCTGGTACACCTGTGCCTATCTCTCATCCTCTGGGCCTACCTTTTCACTCTAGCCATTGCCATGGTAACCAGCAGGCCACAGATGCAACCTGACAGCACTTCACCTCAACTTAAGTACATATTGGTTGCTTTTTTCCACTAGCCTTCTCTGCTTCACCAAATGAGGCTTCTGCAGACTGCTAAGACTGCTTAGCCATACTGATGCACACACAAACCTCAAAGAGGGAAAGAGGTAACAACACCCCAGGGAGTACTGGTAGAATGGGAGCTAGTGGATAATCTTCCTCTGTAATGATGGACAGGTCCCCAGCAAGACTGAGCTCTCATAGCTCACAGGGCTTCATCACACTAGTACAGCTTTAAATTGGCTTTTCTTCCTTTCCTATTTTATTTTTTCTACTTCTCTTCTTTCTGGGATCACTTTCTGAAACAATCCAGTTTCATAAAACTTTAGTCTCAGGATCTGCTTTGGGGTTTGGGAATATCAAGCTAAGACCTTTTTCTACCTTATGCTGCCTTTGCAACGTGTTTAAATCTCCATCTGGCAAACTCTGCTTTACACTTTGGTTATTACAGTATGCATCTGAAACTTCTGAAAATTCAAAGTCTTGTGAAGCCCTGGGGATATTGTTGTTGTGACTGCCTTAGCTATGGTGGATGTTTAGTGGCCTGGCCTCAGATATTTGTAGGGCCCAGGCCAAGCAAACAAACAACCCCCAAACCAAAAACAACCACCCATAGCAGACCCTTATATTATGTGTCTGTATATATGAAAGTAATAATTCAACCTAATAAAATGTTAAATAAAATACGTAGCATCCTTCAACCTGGACAAATATATCTTCATAATGACTTGGAAGACCAGGGTGAACTTAGAATACTCAGACTTTTGGATGCTGCACCAGGACACGGTGGCGTGGACAGAGCCAGCACCTGGCTGGAAGCCTCCTCCCTTTTCTTTGCATCACACCACAAATGCTGCTGCACTTTGTCTCTTTGTCTTGTACTTTGTGTGTGTGTGTGTGTGTGTAATCCCCATCCAAGTTCCAGCTCCTGGGACTGGGATACAACACCTAATGGTTCAGGCTGCCCTTGGGAGGATGAAACCCAAAAGAAAACTCAGGAGCACTTGGACATGGAATTCTGAGGTCTTGGGATCTGAATCATAATTTAGAAGGGTGTTTGTGATCTCTAGCTGGGCATGTCACAAAGAGCAGTCAGGAAACTGCTCAATAGAGAAGGTTATTCCGCAAAGATTTGACCACCAAGCTAAAAAGGGAAGTAATAAAAACACTGAAATCTCATTGCACGTGAACAAAAATTCAAGAAAAAAATCACCCTGTTCAACATAAAATTATCTTCAAAAATGGTGGACACTGCTTATTTTTAGGCAAATTGGAAGAAAATAATTTAGCACTTCGAGGATCACTGAAACCATTACTGCTTACTGCCTTAGTTCTACTTAGTCCTTTCATGTCCTTGAGCAGGCCAGAGAGTGAGGTAATCCATGAACCCCTGTGGTATAGAAGTAGAAGTGGAGAGGAGCCTGCAGGTTTGCCTTTTTTCCTGCTTCTCCCAACACCATCCCAAACTTCAGTTATACTACCCACTACAGCGAGATTGTCTAGACCCAGTTTTCTTTTTTCTTTTTTTTTTTTTTTGTCTTTTTTTGTCTTTTTCCGTGCCCGGCAACGGATCGCAACCCTCAGTGTTGCCCCCATA